TAATTTAAAAATGACCTGGAGGGTCATTACAGTATCTAGGGGGAGGGGGTCATCGGGTTCACGTGAACCCATGGTCCCCTCCCGAGAAAATATTGAAATATAGATGTGTGAACCCACACTTGAAGTATCACATAATGCGATTATGACTGGGTGCACCTCTTTCCTCGAGGTTAGAAATTTGAATTTTATATTTATCTTATTTTATTTTTCTTTCTAAAATTAAATAACACTTCTCTAAGTGGTAATTGGTGTTTGTGTCCAGAGGCGGATTTACGTTGAACCAAAGGGGTTCATCTGAACCCCCATCGTCAAAAAATTACACTATATATATACGATTAAATTTTTAATTTATCTGTATATATATAATATTGAACCCCCTGAACATACGCCAAAGGCGTAGCTCAGTGGTGTTGTGGGTTCAAGAATTCGCGCTGCTGCACGCAAGGTCGCGTGTTCGAATCCGAACAGAGGCATTTTTTTATCAACTTATATTTTAGGCGTTTTAATTATTTTTTTAAAATAATAATGGAATCCGAAAACGACTTTAGTTCCAAAAAATTAAAACCCTGATAGGGAATTTAGGATTTATTAGTTTAATCCCTAATTACAAAGTCAAACATTAAAAAAACCCTTTTCTTCTTTTAGGCTTTTTTTACATTTTATTTTTTCATCGCTCTTCTTCCTTGTTGGGCGTTGGCTGCTGCTTGTCACTGATGGCTGCTACTTGTCGCTGCTGCTTGCTGCTACTTGTCGCTGCTACTTGCTGCTTCCGTTGGATTGGTCATTATTGAAATCTTGAAGTCTATATCCGCAATTGTTTCTTTCATCTCCATTAATAACTACTTCGGTAAGTTTTTGGTTCCCTTTTTTCTTACTAGATTTCTATATACCTTATTTCGTTATTTCTTGATGTGCTTTCTTTTAGTTGGCTGAGTTTCAATTTTTTTGTTTGGCTAATTTAATATATTTTCTTATTCTAAAATTGGAGAGATAGAGAAATATAATTTAATAATCAAATAACCATTGCTTAAGCTTTTTGGTTTTGGTCCTTATTGTGCGTATGCTTTTTTTTTAATAGTTCTTATTGTGTGTTTAATTCTCTTAAATTCTAACTAAACTTTTACTTTACAATCCAATCTTAATATTCAATGAAGAAGTATTTTACCCCAATGTCGAAATCAAGTTTAGCCTCTTATAGTCATAGTCAATCTAACCAAGAGAATAATGTCAATCATTCAGAAGTACCATCACATTCTTCTCAAGAATTTGATTTGAGTACTTTAAAGTTTGATCTCGGTGAAAGAACTTCAATATTGAATTATCATCCAAATCATCGTGATGTTATTAGAAGGGCATACCTTGTGAGTGGTCCTTATCAACCTCGCTTGGAGGTACATGAGTACCCTCAAACAAATATTTCTGGAGCAATGCGTAGTTTTAATCATGAATGGTTTGATGATGTATATCATGATTGGTTGGAGTACAATGTTAGTAAAGATGCAGCCTATTGTTTGTATTGCTATCTATTTAAAGATCATAATATTAATCAAGGTGGAGGTGAAGTATTTTCATATACAGGATTTAAGAATTGGAATAAAAATAGTGGTCTTGACAAGCATATTGTTCTGCAGAATAGCCCACATAATCGATCAAAAAAAAAATGTCAAGATTTATACGACAACAACAGTCGATTCAATCTGCATTTGAGAGATAATCTAATCAAATTAAACATGGATATTATATCCGCTTAAGTGTTTTGGTTGATGTAGTAAGACTTCTTAATCTAAATCATCACTTAGTAGGGGTAATTTTCTTCAGATTCTCTCATTGTATGCAAAAAGGTGTGATAAAATTCATGATTATGTACTTGAACATGCCCCTCAAAATGATCAAAATGACTTCTCCAATAATTCAAAAAGATATTGTGAGTGCATGCAAGATAGAAACAATTAAAGCTATTCTCGAGGAACTAAATGGTGCCTACTTTGCCTTACTAGTTGATGAATCTTTTGATATTTCACGAAAGGAGCAAATGGCTACTGTATTACGATATGTTGATAGAATGGGATTTGTGATGGTGCGACTTATTGACATTATTCATATTCAAGATACTAGTGCATTATCCCTGAAAAAGACAATTATTAATTTACTTGCTCAACATTCTTTGAGTCCATCACGTGTGCATGGACAATGTTACGATGGGGCAAGCAATATGCAAGGTGAGGTCAATGGACTTAAAATGTTGATTAGGGAAGAAAGTAGATCGGCTCATTCTATACATTGTTTTGCTCATCAACTTCAACTAACTCTTGTTGGGGTCTCTAAAAAGTGTGTTGAAGTGGGAAAACTTGTAGTATTGGTCTCAAATATTTTTAATGTATTGGGATCTTCTTTTAAGCGTATGGATGATTTACGAGATTCTCAAAAAGCAGAAATTTAAGATGCATTAGATATGGGTGAACTGACAACCAGTAGGGGCTTGAATCAACAACTTGGTCTTTCAAGAGCTTGTGATACTCGTTGGGGATCATATTATAAATCCTTTAACAATTTTATTCTTATGTTTGTCTCTATTGTTGAAGTTCTTGAATCAATTGCTCTTGATGCACGAAGTATGGATGAAAGAGCCAAGGCAAATGTGACATCTTGAATCTTGTCGAACATTTGAGGTTGCGTTCATGTTGCATTTGATGAGAGATGTATTAGCAATCACAAAATGAGCTCAATAAATAGCGTACAAAGAAAGGAGCAAGATGTTGCAAATGTCATGCTACTTGTTGAAGTAGCAAAGAAAAGGTTGCAAGTTTTAAGGGATGATGAATGGAATTCTCTTATTGCTAAGGTATTTATATTTTGTACCAAACAAGAAATTTTGATACCTAACTTTGAGGAGCCATATGTTAGCTCTTTAAGATCACGGCGAAGACTTGCTCACTATACAGTCTTACATCATTACCGTATTGAAGTGTTTTGTCAATATTATTGATTGGCAACTTCAAGAGCTTAATGATCATTTTAATGAGGTAGCTACTGATTTGCTCCATGGAATCGCTTGTTTGAATCCAATTAACTCGTTTTCAAGTTTTGATAGCAAAAAAATAATGAGGATGACTGAATTATATCCAGATGATTTTGATGAACTTAATATGGACTCTTGAGAATCAACTTGCAAGTTACATTGTTGATGTTCGTGATGTTGATGAAAGGTTCTCTGATCTAAATGGACTTCGTGATCTTTCCAAAAGATTAGTCCAAACAAAAAAAACATTCAAATTATCCTCTGGTGTTCCACGTAGTGAAACTTGCTCTACTTCTACCAGTTGTCACTGCATCCGTTGAAAGAGCTTTCTCGGCAATGAAGTTTATCAAGAATGACTTGCGAAGTCAACTAAGTGATGATTTTTTTAGTGGTTGTTTGGTGCCTTTTGTAGAAAAAAGATGTATTTGATAGTATTCCTAATGATGCTATTATTAAGACATTTCAAGATATGAAACCTAGTAGAGTACAATTGTAATGATCTATTTAAGTTTTTAGATATATGTGCTCTAAATTAAATTTTTTTTATCCGACCCATTTATTTGTGGATATTATTTACGTGATTTATTTATTTTTTGAACCCCCTTGATGAAAATCCTCCCTCCGCCACTGTGTGTGTCTATATATATATATATATATATATAAGAATTAATTTTAGACCTATAATTTTAAAATTTTAACGGTTTTCAGTAGTAAAAAACTAAATGGCGAACCAATCAAATTTATTTTATAACTGTGCACCCATCATCTCAAAATCCTGGATACGCCTTTGATACGAGGAATGGGGATGAAGATAAGGTGTGTTGGATGTTGGAGAGGACATAATCAATCTGAAATATCACTAGCTAGTGCAACTTATTTTCCCTACTTTCACAAGGAAAGTTATTTTTCGTATTTTTACAGAGTTTATGTAGGCTGAGTCATGTAATGGAGGTTAAGGTCATCATAGTGTCTAGAAAAAAGACTACCAATTAAATCATATCAAATTGAATTGATTTTTAGATGATGATTATTATATAAATTTATAATTAGAGTGAATAATTAGATAGATTTTTTATTTTATAAAAATTAACCAAAATAATATCGAACCAGTATCATACCAAAAAATATGTGTAAAATATATTTTATATATTAAGTTAAAAATAATAACATATTAAAGCTTTTGATTTAGACGTCGTGTGATGGAAGGGACTCCAAGCGGCTACATGAATAATACTCAAAGTCCCAACACCAAAACTTATTGTACTACTCTGATCTGATCGAAATTAAATTAAATTAATACTAACATCTCGACTTTCGAATAGTATCTGCTAAGCTACAAGGTACTCCGCTGATTTTTTATAACAAACTACAAGTTATTAGATATTTTTTCTCTCTTATGATTTAAATTTCTCTTATTTGATACTTAATTTAAGTAAACTCAGTTATTTATTTTCTTTTTGATGATTTCTTCTCGCTTGTGTGATTTAATCTTTTTATTTTATCTTTGCTTAGTATTGTTTTACACTACCACAAAATAATGAGATGAATCTCTATTCTTGTTTTCTTTCCTATTTTCTTGATTCATCACTTTTTAAACAATAAAAATATTTAATGAGAGCTATAAGCCATCGGTAAGACGTTCTAACTTTTTTATTATTATTTTTATAAGAACATAAAAAATTAATCAAATTGTATTGATATTATAAAGAAAAACCAAAATGATGGGATGTTTTGAAAAGTAATTTTGATTATATAAAATAAAATAACTAAAAATTGATATGATAATTTTTTTTATAAAATAACAATACAGTAAAACATCATTAAATTAATACTTGGTAAATTATTAATCTCTCTAAGATAATACAATGAAAAAACCCACGTATTTCAATAAGATAATAAGATAATATATTTTCAAAAGACCCCTATATAAATGTATGGTCCCATTAAAATTATAAATTAATAATTCTTTAAAAGTACAAATATATCTAAGACAACTTAGTGAAATATGATTATATTGTTAACCTCATAAAATCAGTTGATTTTGAAAAATTACTCTTAACAATTATCGGTACCCTTCGCAGGAAAAGAAATAAGAAAGCAAAGGAGCCAAGCATATAGCACGAAGAAGGGAAGAGATACGATCTGATAACCAACGGAAGAAAGGAAAGTCATGATTAGAGGAATTCCAAATCAATTCAACATACCCACAATCCTAGCAATAGTTCAATCTAGCAAAGACTAATTCAAAGATCAGCAATCCAGCCAAGAATCAAGTGGGCTATCAAGATAAGGAAGTCAGCAATGCATCCAAGAATCAAGGGGGCTATCAAGAGAAGGAAGAGAATCAATTCAAGCCGAGATTCGAGAAGATCATCTAAACAAGGAAGTAAAACAATTTGATCATGCACATATTTAATATGGACATGAATTAGCAAATCGCCTCAATCAATGAATCTCTCAATATCCTTGATTGAGAGAAACACCCTTGGGGTTTTTCCTTACAAGAGAAAGCAGCATACCTATCTATATAGACCTCATTTAGTCTTAGTTATCAAGTACAGACTTCACTTGAACTTGTACTATTTTCTCCTGTTGTCTTTCATAAAAATATTGTACTCTCATAAGTAAATAATTGAAAAGAGAAAGAACGATTTAAGTGTAAGTTATACAAGTAAAGGTTGTGTCAAAGTAGAAGATCTGATTTGCATATCAGACAGGGCTCCGAGTAGAAATACTTCGTAAACACCCAAGTTCTCAACAAGCTCTTAAGGAAACCCTTGAAACCCAAGGGGACTGGAAGTAGGCACCACATCGATGTTCTGAAAAAGTATAAAATTCTCTGAGTCCTTTACTTACTACATTTACTCTTATCTTATATTGTTAAACTAATTTGCAGGTGAGTCGACTATCCCACACAGAAAGTCGACTAAAGAAATTTTTTAATTCACCCCCTTCTTCACTTTCAATTGGTATCAGAGCAAGTCTCACAGATAAAGTGCTTAACCACACATGAGCAAAGATATATGGCGAACTGTCAAATCCATGATGCTCTCCTTCAAGACGGACATTTCTCAAATCGACCCCCTTACTTCAATGGTCAACAATACTCTCATTGGAAAGACAGATTTAGAATTTTTGTTATCTCAAATGACCTCATGGCATAGATAATCATCACGAAGGGACCAAAGCCAATTCATGGATTTCCTGGAAAGGACGCTACTGACAAACCCTTTGATTTAAAATTCTTTGACATTACAAAGGACCAACAAGAGGTAATCTAAACTAAAGCTAGGGCAATAAGCTTATTGTACTGTGCAATTAGTAGAGCATAATATGAAAAGATTTTTAATCTGTGAAACTGTGAAATAAATGTAGGACAAACTTGAAGTTACCTATGAAGAAACCAACAAAGTCAAGGAAGCTCGACTCAGTTTATTGAAGAACGAATATGAGTTGTTCAAAATGGCAGAAGATGAAAACGTTGAGAACATGTTAGGTTCAGTAAAATCATTTGTGAGCTCAAGTCTTTGGGTATGATATACTCAAACGGACTACAAGTCAGGAATCTCAATAAAAGTCTCTCAAAAGCATGGGAAACTAAAGCAACCATTTTAGAAAATGGAGATCTGGAAAAACTGACTTATGACAAACTCAAAGGAAATCTTATGGCTTATGAACAAAATCATATTAACAGATACCACAGAGATGATAAAAGAAAAACTGTCGCATTCACTTCTGGAACTACTGAAGTTGAAGAAGAGATAAATGAAACTCAAAGTGAGGGAATGACCCTCATCAATCGAGGAGTTAGCTAAATGCCGAGTCAATGGAGGCAAAGGCCTCAACAAGTTTCAAGAACATTGAATACCAAAGAAATGATGATCGATGCTACTACTGCGAAAAACCAGGCCACATTAAACAAAATTATCCAGAGCGAAAACGGAGAAACAACCGAAGAAGTGAAGATTCAAAAAGTCTTGAAGCCTGGAGTCAAGGATAAACATTTGAAGATGATCGTGATGAAACCGCCAACATATGATTCATGGCACTAGGGGAATCAAGTGAGGTAAGACCTTTTAACTATTCAAATTTCAATGACTTATAGAACTCTCTGATATGGTTACTAACGAATTGCAGAAAGTTATCGATGAATATAACAAACTTGCTCAAGAAAAGAAGGACTGGAAAATTCTTCTAGAAGCAAGTCAGATTGAAGTCGACTTGCTAGAAGAAGAACCGAAGGAAGTAAAAATGCAGTTGAATAGCATCAGAAAGTCTCCTAGTCATAGTTCCATCAGATCCAATAGATCTATCTTAATTGTCTCTTATAATTCCTCTTTTCATTCTGCTGAAAACTCCGTTCAAATTACTTGTTTTACTTGTGGTGATATAGGCCATAAATCTTTTTACTACAGGAAATATTCCTCTGAAAAATGGATTTGGAGACCAAAAGTTGTTAATCCTAACCCTCAAAGACCCAAAAATATCTGGGTACCTAAAATAAATTAATCTATTTGTCTTGCAGGAGCAAACCAAGAAAACCTAAAAAAGAGAATGTGGGTAATAGACAGTGGATGCTCCAGACATATGTACGGAAAGAAATAAAACTTCAAATCTCTTACAAAAATTGA